GAGTCCCTACATTCATTCTAACATGTGCTATTACTAAATGCCTAATACTATTACACCCTATTCTGGGGAAAAAGACAGCATTAGGAAGAATCAAATAAAATTCTTCCTCAGGTGACCTAACTAAACTGGGGTGCTGTGAGAGACACCCACAGCTCTCCACACAGCGGCTGGGAAACTTAAAGGAAGAAGCACAGCCCTTGTATTCTCACAGCTTAATCACTTGGCACTTTTCAAAAACTCATTTTTGCAAATAAATTAAGTTAAAAGGAGGATACATTCTCTAATTTCTGATAAGACTGATCCAGGAAGTAGCTGAGCCCTACAGATTCTTGGCTACTTCAGAATAGTGGCTGAATGTTTATCCTTTAATCTCCAAACAAGCCACACAAGAAACCAATAAACATTCTCCATTCAAAATGTTTTTCATTTCCCATTTCCATTTTGCTAGATAGAAATGAATATATGTATATTCGTGATACATATTAATGTATCCTAAATTAACGGTTCCTAAAAAGTTAATTTTTGCCTTCAGTAAGAGTTCTACCCATGAAAAGATACAGCAATATGAACAGTTCTGTTTAACTTAACCAAAAATGGTTGAATAGATTATTCTCTACCCCCTAAAAGCAATGATTTCTTGCTGTGGCTGAGGGAAAAACAACTTTCTCCTCCTAATTTTTAAAACAACGAGGAGAAAACATCCCGGGTAGCCAAAATCTAGCTTTCTTTAAAAGCATTATCCAAGGAAGCATGTTCTGTGGAAGGATGACTAGGGAAAACTATCTGTATTTTTGAGTCTCTTGTTTGTTTTAAAGGATGGATCTCAATAACACCCAGGGAGTTCCTGTATTTTAACAAAGCCTTTCTAAATCACATCCCGTGACAGAATGAGTGAGTCCATGTAAACACAGTCGGTGGTATCATGAGTAACAAAATCTGTTTTCATCAGAAGCCCGTTCTTCTGCGTAAGAGACCTGCACACTAACAGGCTGAAGGGCTCATGCTAACCAGCTACAGCTGGTTCAATGCTATAAAAAGAACTCATGAAAACACAAACGCAAACTTCTCCATCACACTCCGCCAGCGCGTCAAGGCTGCACAAAGACGGCCCTTTCCAATTGCTCTCAGTGAATGAGCCGGCCAGGCCGGGTTCTCTGAAGTTGTTTACTGAACAGTGTGTGCAGGGGACTGGCTGAGCACCCATGGGGGTGGGGATAGCATGATCTACCAGTGCACAAGCCAATTTTTCTGGATGGTCTTGGACTTAGTTCTACAACAAATAGGAGGCAGAGAAAATTTCAAAAGCAGAGGTAGAGTGCCTTTAGCAATTTCTTAAACATACACACACAATTAGAGTACTTTGGTTTTTATTATGAAAATGTACCATTAAGTCTGAGATAAATTAATGCTTTATCAAATATTCTAAATTCTTAAATAATTTCTTAAGTGACTTCATTATCCAAGAGGAAGCAATTTTATGATAAAGAGGTGATCACTATTTTAACTCTTTACATGGCTAAAAAGCTCCAGAATGTTAAGTGTTGGAAGGGATCATGGAGATTTTCTCTCATCTTCTGTCACAGATGGACCTCTGGGGGCTCAGAGGCTTCCTAGCCTGCGAAGGCCACACTGCTTGGTGGCAAAAAGAGTGTGGGTGTCCCAGCAGCCACAACTGTTTCTCTGCTCTATCCTGTGCTAGATGTGGCTAAATGAACATGGCCAATTATAGAGTCCCTGGATTATTTCATAATATCATGGGTTTTGACCTAACCTAGCTTTTAAATGTATGAGGTTACCTGCAATGACAACTGAAAATTTAGGTATCTGCCCTGGCATCTTTTCGTGTTCTTGAATAGGTTGAAAGCATTATTCAGTGAGCTATTATTCTGCTGGAGAAAGGGTTTTTGCCTTGGCTAAGCAGGGCTGATGCTCACCCACCATCCCAGGACTCAGACCGTACACTCCCTCTTGTGCGACATCCCACCATGGTGGCCTGTCACCACCTCCATCTCCACCTTTTATGCACACCCAGGGGTCTGTGAGGCCGGGTAGGTGGGTAGAAGAGCACAGATGTAGAGCTGTGGCACCAGCGTCTGGCTGGCAGGGCCTTTCTAAATTACTTCCCATGACAGAGGGAGTGAGTTCCTGTAAGCAAAATCAGTAATATTAGTCCATTTCTGTTGCTTATAACAAAGTATCTGGAACTGGGGAATTTGTAAGGAAACAAAATTTATTGCTTACAGTTTCAGAGGCTGGAAAGTCCAAAGTCCAGGGAACATTTATGCTGAGGGTCTTCTTGGTGGTGATAGTGACCCAGGGTCTCACATGGCAGAAAATGGTGAAGCAGAGACAGACTAAGCTCTCATGTGCCCTCCTTTTAAAGCCCTCGGAACCACGCCCCTGACCACCATTATTAATCCATTCTCTATGGCATGTCCTATAATGTAATCACCTATTCAAGGCCCCACCTTTAATTACCATAATAGGATTTCCCACCCTCAACAATTTCAGTGGGAATTAAGCTTCTAATATATGAACTTTGGGGGACACAACTCAATCAATCCACAGAGGTATTATAAGTAACAAAATTTGTCTTTGTGAGAAGCACTCTGTCCTGCCAAGAGACCTGCACACTGATAGGCGGCCGGGCTAAGCCGCCACAAGCAGCTACAGCTCTGTGGGCTGGACACTGGCGCTACAGCTCTCCATCTGTGCTCTTCTCCCTCCACCTGCTCAGCCTTGCAGCACCCTGGTCTTGTGCAGAAGGTGGAGATGGAGGTGGGGACAGGATGCCCTGGTGATACTGCCTCCTTTTGCCTCCCTCCAGCACACGCTCACCATTTTCACCAGCCCTTCTGAGATCCGCTGCCTCTCGTGTCTTGAGGCTGAGTACCCCGGTGGACTTCTCAGGGTTGTGGTGCTATTCCAAGCGGCAGGTCTCTGACTTCAAGTCTAATCTTTCTTCCTTCTTACATGCTTTCCCCAGCCCCTGTTTTCTCAGAGTCATTTCCCAAGTTATTGAGGTCGAAAACTTGAAAGTCATGTTTAGACCCTTCCTCTCCCTTCCTCTTCAAACCCAAACCACTGCCAAGTCTCAATGATTCCCTACACTCAAGCCCTTCCATGGCTTTCCACTCCTCCTTATTATGCACTCCCGGCAGGGCCTAACCACCTCACACTTGCCATCTGGGCACGTAACTCTGCTTCCTGCAAAGACACCACTTTGATCACATCAAACGCCTTTCCAATCTAATCATACAATGATGTCCATACCTGAGCTTTTAGAGCTAAAAATCTGACCATGGTCTGGGCATTCAGCCCAGAGGTGATCACACCTCTCCCCTATCTAATAAACCTGTATGGAGGCCCTATCATTCACAACTCTGTGCCAGAGGGCACAAAAGACCAGGGCAGAAAGGTGTGTGCACACGCAGACAAAAAAAAGGCTCAGTTGTCACAGGAGAGACAGACACGATCAAGAAAGACAAGGGCATGAATAGAGATGAGAGAATAGAACATTACAATAGGTCTTAGAGATCACATAGCCCCAAATCTATAATTTACAGATGAGCAAAAGCTCAGGGGGGCAAAGGCAGGGTGATTATATGACATGCCCAGATTCATCTGGTATTTTCTATCACTGTCAAGATAATTAATGTAAGGAAATATTTAAAAAACAAATGATCCAGATACAAAGGCCACACACTGTCTGATTCTACTGATATAAAATACCCAAAATCGGTAAATCCAGAGAGACAGAAAGAACATTAGTGATTGCCAGGGGAAGGGGGAGTGAGTGCTAATGGGTACAGGTCTCTGCTACGGTTTGAATGTTTGTCCCTTCCAAAACTCACGTTGAAGTTTGATCCCCATTGTAACAGTACTAAGAGGGCGGGAAATCTAACTATGGTATTTGGAAGGGGGAACCTTTTAGAGGGCTCTGCCCTCATGAATGGATTATCGCACTCATGGATCAATGGGCTATCACAGGAGTGGGACTGACAGTTTTATAACAGGAGGAATAGAGACGTGAACTAGCACACTCGGCCCCCTCACCATGTGATGTCCGTGTCACTTTGGGACTCTGCAGAAAGTCCTCACTAGCAAGAAGGACCTCACCAGATATGCCCCCTCAACCCTGGACATCCCAGCCTCCAGAACTGTAAGAAGTAGATTTCATTCTTTTATAAGTTACCCAGTCTCAGGTATTCCACCATAAGCAACAGAAAACGGACTAAGACAGTCTCTTCCTGGGGTGATAAAACTGTTCTGGAATTAGATAGTGGTGATGGTCCCAAAACATTGTGAATAAACTAAACACCACTGCATTGTACCCCTTTAAAATGGTTTAAATGGTGGCTTTTATCTCACAACCAAAACGAATGGAATGATTCCATGTTACCCTCATGCAGAGATCTAGCATGTCCTTCTGAAAACCCTGCTAACTCTCCTTCAAATTGTCTGCCTTGACTACTCACGGCAGTTGCTGTGATTCATTACTCCTTACTCCACTAGCACATTTTCCAACTTGCATTCTATCAGAATAGACTTTGTGCCTATGTGTGTGTGTGCGCGCGCGCATACATGTTGTCTACCGGTACCCCGAGGGGAGACAGTGGGAAATGAAGAAAGACACGATTTATTTTATGGGATCAGAGGGATTTTTGTAGGCTGCTGACCTGCAAGGCATCTTAGTTTATTTTAGGTTGCTTTTTATAAGCCAGTGAAAATAACAATTGTACTGATTGAATCACTTCTATCTTCTACCAAGCTATTTATAGAACAAAACATTCTCAGCTGCCACAGCACTTGAAGATTCATAGCTAACTACTTATCAACAAAATAACATATGTTTCTCATTTACAAAGCTTCCAGGGTCCTGGGTTCGATCATAGGTTAGGCCTCAAAGGGAGAGAGAAGGGGGAAGTAGACAAAAGGGATGCCAGTCTTGCTGGCTTCCCTAGAATAGCAAGGTCTTTGTCAACTTGCTTATTTAGTACCCCACATTTCCCCCTTCTGTATTTTGGATGATGACAACGCCAGGACCTCTCATCTGAAGCCATAAGAGTTGCCACAATTGTTGGTTGCTAGAATGGAGGCAGACTGAAAAGCACAAAAAGGCAAATACAGAAGCAATTACAAACGCTATTAACAAATACAATCTCTACCGTACAATGTACAAGGGATGCAACTGAGTTTCATTGGTTATAGGAGATATTACAACCACTACCATGGGGTGTTATTTCAAAATTTCCCACAAGTAGCACATTGGGAGGAGCTACACAGGAGCATAAACCATAGGAAATCACAAGACTTTGAACTTGGTCTATGATAAATACAGTAACAACACTCAATGAAGCAAACAATGTTCACAAATCTGGATGGGCTATACCCTGAATTGTATACCATATACTAGTCACCCAACCCACGGGTACTGCCCAGTCAGATGGCAGCCAGGATTCTAGGTTACGATGAGACCAGTCCCATAATGCCTTCTCATTATCTGAAGAAAACCCAACAAGGTGGTACAACACAGGACTGGAATAATAACATTCTGGCCAGTGGGGGTGTTTGACAAAAGGCTGTCCATGTTGATCTGCACAGGAAGACAGCCCGGGGGGGGGGGGGTCTCCATGAGCACCAGTTTTTATTTTTTATCCCATCCAATTCATACATCATTACAGTCTGCATATGAACACCTGGATGAGGTTGGAGTCCTTCTGAAGGTTCTTCTATCCCATGTGCCAATTTTCCTTAGATATGGGTATGAAAACAACCAAACCTAGGCTTAGTGGTAAAACAAACTGATAAAGCAAAAGAATGAGCAGTGTAATTAACAGATCTATTAACTTTAGGAATTACAGATCCATCCTTCACATATCCTCTTATTTATTTATTTAATTAAAAGAAAAAGCAAAAGTTATAAATCAAGGTTTTACAGTTAAAGCATTTTGTTATAGGATGGGTCTATAATTGAAAGAACCTCTAGCAAATACACATATAATACATATATAATCCTCTTTTTTTCTTCTTTTCCTTTTTGTCTTTTTTCGTGACCGGTAATGGGATTGCAACCCTCAGTGTCGTGCCCGTACCACGACCGGCAACGGGATCGCAACCCTCGGTGTCGCGCCCGCACCGCGCTCAACCAGTGAGCGGACCGGTCTCTATATGGGATCTGAACCCTCGGCGGGAGCAAAAGTGCCACACTCTACTGAATGCGCCACCGGGTCAGCCCTATAATCCTCTTTGATTACTAATCTACGCACAAGTTAACAACAAGGCATGTGTAGAGCTTGAAGAGAAACTCGGTTTATTTGTTTTGTTTTTTGTTTTTATGTTTGTTTGTTTATAGCTTTTAAAGTATCAAACATATCACAAATGTGTTGACCCAAAGGCAAATTTAGGCAGAAGGTTTAAATTAAATTTTGAAAACATATTTATTGTATCAAGAATTTTGGAAAATGGGCCGGCCCGTGGCTCACTCGGGAGAGTGCGGTGCTGACAACACCAAGGCCCCAGGTTCGGATCCCATATAGGGATGACCGGTTCGCTCACTGGCTGAGCGTGGTGCTGACAACACCAAGTCAAGGGTTAAGATCCCCTTACCGGTCATCTTTTTAAAAAAAAAGAATTTTGGAAAATTAAAGTCACATGAACTTGAAAAGTACACATATTTAATGAGCATGCATTAATTATAAGCCAATTTGGTACCACGCAGACAATACAAACACACATATAGACATAACATACTTATGCACACGTATATGTAGACATAAACAGAACTCACTAGTATGAAAAGAGAGTTAGATTTAAATTGTTTCCTTTTATTAAAAGGTGTCAATTTATCTGTTAGGTCTCACCTTGTTTTAGAGAAAATAAGGTAACAAAACAGGTTGATTTTAGTTTAGTTTTTTGTTTTTTAAATGAGTTACTGAGCTTAAGGTTGAGCCAGAGAGCAAACAGAGATAAGGCTATAGAGTTTTAGGGTTTCAAGAGAAAAGCAGCAGACCCAAAAAGAAGGTCTGGTTAGCACCAAGGCTACATCTCTCATAAAGCCCCAGAGTCCCTGGCAAAGAAGAGAAATATATGCAGTTAAGAAAAGAATTAACTTCTTTTATTTTAGTTTGTCCAATTAAAAGTTCTTTCAGTCACTGACAAAGATTAAGTTTTATCCTCTTTTGGTGACACAAATATGTCCTTGCTTTTTGTTAAGGTTTAGAGTAAGTCTCAGAGCAACTTGACATAGATTCCGAACTGTTAGGTGGGAAGCCGAGACTTATTGCATAATTAATCATTAGTTTTCACATTTCTCTGTCAAGGTTTCCTTCCCTGGAATACCAAGGACCTTGTTACTTAAAATAACCATTAACAGTTTTACAAGCTACCGTTTGGTTACTTTACAGCCAGCTGCTTTAAGGAAACAGTGATGTTGTAATGTATGTTGAGTCTCCCCCTTAAAAGGAAGTTCCTGTATTTTAAAAGTGAAGGAAAAAACAAAACTTACGAGCTGTTTCAATATCCTTCGAAACTAAGATCAAATATTGACTGTCTGAGTATAAGTTAAAGGGACTGTCCTCTAATAAGAAAAAAGCATAAATACCAGTGTGAAGTTCAATGCACTGTGCAGAGGAGGCTTGAACATATCTAGAAAAGAGTTGGTCATCAGTAATTACTGCTGCTAGTCCAGTGCTGGAGCCATTGGTAAACATGAGGGAAGTGTCAGATAAAGGAATCGAAGAAGTATTCTTAGGAAAGATGATGGCAGTACGCTGAAAAAATTATAACAGTTTATTCTGAGGGTAGTGGACAGGAACTTGATCAGTAAATTCTGTAACGGTTTCTTGCCAAGCAGCAACAGAGCTCATTAACCATAGAAACCACTGGAATGAGAAAGGAATAACAATATAACGAGAGTCAATTCCAAACAAGTGTTGCAACCGAAGCTGCTCCTTCATAATCAAAGCTGTAAGGAATAGATAATAAAGAGTTAAGGTATGAGTCTGATGAGAAGGGAAAAAAGCCACTCCAATGGGCCGCGTTCCTGCCATATTAACATAGTGGGAATAATAGGTGTGGGAAATAGAAGAAATATGGGTAGAGATGGGTTTACACGAAAAACCTGTGCTTTGTGAATGGCTTGTTCTACTTTCTGCAACACATGGATTGCTGCAGGAGTCAAACTTCTGGGAGAATTAGGTGATAAGTCATCCTTTAAGATGTCAAATAAAGGCTGCAGATCCACAGTTGTAAGTTGGAGGGAAGGGTGAAGCCAGTTAATGTCTCCCAGTAATTTTTGGAAATCATTAAGTGTCTTCAAAGAATCATGCCTAATTTGAATTTTTTGTGGGCAGATAGTCTTATTGTTTATGATATGACCCAAATAGGAAAAGGGGTGTTGCATTTGAATTTTTTTCCAGAGATAGAACCAAACCATAAGTAGCTAATACCTTAGAAACGGAATCAAATGTTGAAAATAAATGCTGTTGATTTTCATGAACAATTAGAATATCATCCATATAATGGATGATATATGCCTGAAGATATTAGTGTCATAAAGGCTCAAGAATATTAGAAATATATTTTTGACATAATGTAAAACTATTAGCCATACCTTGTGGCAATACCTTCCATTGATATCTTTTCATGGGGACTTGAAAATTAAAAGAGGGTACACTAAAAGCGAATTGTTCACAGTCTGAAGGAGATAAGCGGATGGAAAAGAAACAGTCCCGCAGGTCCGGGCCCATTAAATAAAATGAATCTAGGGCCAAACCCGTGGCTCACTCGGGAGAGTGTGGCGCTGGGAGCGCAGCAGCGCTGGGAACACCGAGGCCACAGGTTCGGATCCTATATGGGGATGGCCGGTGCGCTCACTGGCTGAGTGCAGTGCGGGCAACACCGAGGTGAGGGTTGCGATCCCCTTACCGGTCACACACACAAAAAAATAATAATAATAATAATAATAAATAAATAAAATTAAAAAATTAAATGGATCTGGAATGGCTATAGGAGATGGAAGGCCAGGCTGTAAAATGCCCACGGGTTTCATAACTGCATTAATAGCTCAGAGGTCTTGCAAAAGTCTCCACAAGCCAGACTTTTTCTTAACGACAAAAATAGGGGTATTACAAGGACTATTAGAGGGTTCGATATGGCCCTTTTGAAGTTGATCTTGAACCAAATTTTGACAAACAAACAATTTCTCCTGAGTAAGGGGCCACTGATTCACCCATACAGGTGTATCTGAGATCCAAGAAATTGGATCAGCGGTGGCAGGAGATATCAGGGCCCCCATTATAAGGAGGTAGAGAAATGGTGCAGAATTTCATTGGGATTCAATAGTAAAGCTCCCACTTACTGTAAGACATCATGTCCCCACAAATTAATAGATATAGAAGAAAGCATAAAGGGATGAAAAGTCCCAGAATGGCTTCATTGTCAGTCCATGTGAGGAAAGAGTTACTCTGCCAAGGTGCACTTCATTGGCCGATGCCTTGGAGCTCAATCATGGCTGGCTGCAAAGGCCAAAAAGCAGGCCAATATGTTCGGGTCATGACAGAAATGTCAGCTCCTGTATCTAATAACCCCTTAAAGAGTCTTACCTGAATTGATAACACTAATTCTGGGCGTCCCTTTCTTATTTGTTGTATCCAATAGACTTTATCAGATGGGGTATTTTGAAGCACTTTACCTGTAATTAAAAGAGGGACTAATACTAGTTGAGCTATTTTCATGTCAGGAGAGAGCGATGATTCCTTGCCCTGCGGCAGCCATAACTTGTACCTCTCCAGTATAATCAGTGTCAATGACTCCAGGAAACACCTGAAGACCTCTTAAAGTGAGGCTGCTCCATCTCAAGATAATCCCTACACTGTCTGAAGGTAAAGAGCCAAACATACTGGTAGGGATAGCTTGTGGCCCCATAGTAGGGGTTAACACAAACCAACCTGTGTGGCTAAGATCTAATCCTCCACTTATGGCCGCCATTGTTTGACAGGGCCGGGCAAGGCCCCATTTCCCGTTTCCCCGTTGGGGAAGAGGCCAGCCCTCTACTGTGATTTTGGAATGGCATTCATTAGCCCAGTGGTGTCCCCTCTGACATCTTGGGCAGATATTTGGAGCAGGTGTAGAAGGGAAGTTATCAGGAATGGAAGCTTGATTAGGACATTGCTTTGCAAAATGACCTCCTTTTCCGCATTTAAAACATATTTTGGATTTATGCTTTGGATCTTTTTTTTCCCTTGCTCTCTAAAATATTGAAAGAGCATTACATTTTGCAAAGCAGTGGCAAAAGCTACCCCCTGCATATGAGGGTCCAACATCCGCACAGAGACAGATACAGTCAGAAAGTGTTCCCTTCTTACGATAAGGGTGAATAGCAATCTGGCAGCCAAACTGGCGTTTTCATAAGCCAGCTGCTTGGTCAGCAGCATTCCAGCCTCTCCATCTACCACTAGGCGTCCCACAGCCTGTAACAAACAGGACAAGAAGTCCTGGTATGGCTCATCGGGACCCTGATGGATCTTACTAAGTTCTTCTGTTTAAGGTCTTACTATGTTCTTCTGTTTTAGTGCTGGCCATGGGAAGCCTCCGCCCAGCCTGCTGGGCAATGGTATTCATCTGTTGGTAAACATCAGCAGAGAATCCTAATTGTTGCACCACCACGGAGAAGTCACCCTCACCAGCCAACATATCAAAAGTGACTTCAAGTCCTTCTCTGTGACTGCATTCAGATTGTTCCTGAGCACATTCCGAAAACTCTGATTTCCACAAAAGGTATTCACCCCCACTAAGACAGGCTCTTGCTATATTTTTCCAATCTACTGCGGGGAGACCTTCAACCGCCATTGTCTCAAGTAAACTCAAAGTAAAGGGAGCTGTAGCTCCATACTGTGCAACCACAGTTTTTAGCTCCTTTGGAGTTTTAAAAGGGAGCAGTCGATATTCTTGCACCACTCCTCCCTCAGCATTTAAAGACCCAGTAATAGGATAACACCTGTATCCCTGCAAGCCATCCTTCCCTCTCTCCCTTGCCATTAGGAGTGCCTTCTGTAAAGGAGACATTTGAGGGGCACGGCATAGGATAGGGTATGTTTGAGGCACCATGGGGCCATGGGAAGACAGAGAGGACACCTTAGAAGACTGTTGACAGTTCTGACAGCAGGACTTCATCAGATGGTCAAAAGCCAACAAAAGGTCAGGGGACTCAATGGTCAAAGATGGAGGTGAAGGCAATGGCTCAGCAAGAAGTGATTCTGTCTCATTATCTATTTCCTCTTTCTCCTTTATCTCTTCAGTACATTCCCCGATCAAAAGTTTTTCAATAACATCAGTGGGGGAAGAAAGTATATCAGGAACTTTCTTGAAATAGATTTAGAGACAGTTGAGACCACAGGGGCTTTAGAAGCCTCATGGCCAGGATGTAAACAGTCTCTGATCAAATTCCATAAAGAAGGGCCGGCCCGGTGGCGCACTGCTACAGTGCGCCGCTTGGGAGTGCGGCGGCGCTCCCGCCGAGGGTTCGGATCCCACATACAGACCGGTTCCCGCTCACTGGCTGAGCGAGGTGTGGGAGCAACACCGAGGGTTGCGATCCATTGCCGGACACACAAAAAAAAGACAAAAAGGAAAAAAAAAAATTCCATAAAGAAAAGGTGTCAAGAAGGACCTTAGAAGGACCCAAAACACAATAATGTTCTCAGAGCCATCTCCCAACATGTTCCCCAATCTTGAGATTGACTGTCCCTTCTTCAGGAAACCAGGGGCAGACTTCTTGAATGTGATGTAAAAATTTTTCTAACTGAACAATAGAGACCTTGTAGCCCCGGGCTTTAAACATAAATTTCAAAACTTAGAAAAAGGGATCCCACTATTTAAGTTTTTCTAACTGAATAACAGAGACCTTGCAGCCCCGGGAGAAAGAGATCCAGCTCTTTGCTCCCCTCTTGTCCCATTAGTTTTACTCCTGACTATCTGATTTATATGCCTTCGTCCCCAAACAGAATTGGTGCGCACCCCAAAACATGAAGGTTTCCTCACCTACTTCCAAGAAGTTTCTCCATACTCAGGTCCCTGTTCGGGTGCCACTTTGTTGTCAACCAGTACCCCGAGGGGAGACAGTGAGAAATGAATAAAGACATGATTTATTTTATGGGATCAGGAGGACTTTTGCAGGCTGCTGACCTGCAAGGCATCTTAGTTTATTTTAGATTATTTTTTTATAAGCCAGTAAAAATAACAATTGCACTGATTAAATCAATTATATCTGCTACCAAGCTATTTATAGAACAAAACATTCTCAGCTGCCACGGCACTTGAAGATTCATAGCTAACTACTTATCAACAAAATAATGTAAGTTTCTCATTTACAAAGCTTCCAGGGTCCTGGGTTCAATCATAGGTTAGGCCTCAAAGGGAGGGAGAAGGGGGAAGTAGACAAAAGGGATGCCAGTCTTGCTGGCTTCCCTAGAATAGCAAGGTCTTTGTCAACTTGCTTATTCAGTACCTCACACATGCATCCTCTGTGTCCTTCTGAAAAGACACTGGGCTCCTTCACGCAGACAACTCTGTCAGGTAATGCTCTGCTCAATCTTCATGTGAACCTCTCTTTCTCTTCCTCCTTCCCTGCATTTCTTTCTTATTCATTTTTGTTTGTTTGTTTGTTTGTTTTTCTTTTAACAACTCCACCTTAAAGGCAGCACAGGGGAGAAATAAAATACATGTGCTGGGCAGGTGGTAAAAATTATTTTGTCACTAACACAATACCAAATAATTAAGTTGTCCTCAAAGACATAGAAGAACGACAGAATAAAAGAATGTGAAGATAAGCACTATAAAGACTTGGTTTATTTTTAGATATCACAACTAAGATTGAGAGATAATTGAGTTACCCGCTCAATGTCATGCAGTAAGGCAATGCCACAGTCCCCATTAAAAAGTGGAACTCCTTATTATCAGGCAACTGTTCTTTCTACAACATCACCATATTGTTATAGTTTTTCCACGTCATTCTTCTGATAAAGAACTTACCATAACTCCCCATTTCATTAACGTTAAATTTTGACTCCTAGCATCAAGGCTCTTGGGGATTCTTCTATTTTATGTTTACGTGGAGGCTTTTGTCATCTCCCACAGCCCCCATCCCCAACCCTCATTGCTGAATCAACTGTGTAAAAATACTTCATTTGATTGCACTGATGAGGGATTTGTCATAATGAAATCAGGACTTTGAAAGAGGTGTAAGTTTCTGTGGACAACAGTATCTCCACATTCCTTTGGGACCACTGTGTCCCCCAGGAAGGGGTGGACGTTATTTCTGTGTGTCCGTTATGTTTCTAGACTTGCCTGGGGTTTACACACATGGACTCATTAAGTTTTTTTTTTTTTGAGACCGGCTGCACCGCGCTCAGCCAGTGAGCGCACCCGTCATCCCTATATAGGATCTGAACCCGCAGCGGGAGCGCCACTGCGCTCCCAGCGCCCCACTCTCCCGAGTGCACCACGGGCTCGGCCCGGACTCATTAAGTTTTGACAGCAAGCCCGTGGGGTATCATTATGAGGAAACTGAGTTTCAGCAGGTTAAATAACTGATTGAAATTCAATTTGCTATCTGAGCTGGCTGTTGTCAAGTGTCTGCCACTGCCAGCCTCTTCTCCTTTGTGCTATTCTGATTCCAAGCCCTAAAGACTGACAGCAGATGACTGGTCGGCCCCTGCCTTCCCTTCCTCCCCTCTCCCTTCATGCATTTATTTGCCACCCCTCAGACCTCCGTTCCTGGGAACAACGTCTCTCTACAGTTCACTGCAATGTGAGGATTCAAAACCATGATGCTGGTATCTCAAACAGATCTTATTCCCACGGGGTCTAAGCCTGAATAGGTCTCGCCAAATCCCCTGTATGTCCTGCCCTGGCCAACAATTATGCGATTCTGGGCCCATCCAACACAGTGCCCTGTCCTGGCTGCTCCCACGTGCTCCTATAAGACAGCTCTGTCTCTACGGCACCTGCTCAGTTGGCTCCACTGAGCTGGCAGAGACTCTCATCCCTGCCCATGCTGGGTTGCGCCACCACTTCTTTTCTAGTCTCTCATTCCCGGCATAACTAAGAATTCTGGAGGAGCTGAGGGCTGGATCCTGTTTGCTTTGATAATGGTTTACACAGCCCACATCTTCTACAGCATCCTCAGATCAGAAGCATAGACACAAGAACAGAAATCTTAGCGTGAAATGTAGAGTCATCCCAATCAACAACATCTCCTAGTGAGTACTGATTGCTCCACTAACTGCTTCACACAGTAAATCACTGCATGCTTCCAAAAAGCCCATGACAGGTACCCTTAGCATGTGCATTTTACAAACGAGGAAATCGACATTAAAATACCTTGCCCAAGGTCCAATAGCAAGCAGGTGATGAAGCCAGGGGGCAGACCTGGGCCCAGCTGCCCGCAGAGCCCACGCTCCGCACTTCATAGCACAGCCTCACGGCTGCAGTTGGGGCTCACTTTTCTGAACCCATCAGAGTCTTGCTACTGTTTATTTTTATTTACCTAACATGCAGCTCATTCAGCAACTTCAAATCACTCACACAGACTGAAGGACAAAAATCTAATGACACAGTTAAATCAGTACAGCCTTGCATCCTAATACTTTATCTCATACTTCAAGAACTTGATAATTATTTAGCAACTCCTGTGGTCCAAACACTGGACTGGAGGCTGGCGATTAAAAAGACAGGCACCACTGAGTTGATGCCCAGCATCCTTGCACACTAGTGGAGGAGACACACAACCAAGAGTTGGATGAATGGAAAAATGGAGATGCCTCATCTTGAAGCAACCACCAGTGTTGTCAGGGGATGTCTGCAGCTGGAGAAGACAGAGAAGGCACAGAGATGCAGAAGGCAGGTCTGCCTGGGGACACAGAGAGATGTGGTGATGGAAGTGGCAGGAAATGCAGCTGAAAGGACAGCACTGCTCACCACGTGAGGTGGGGAGCGTGGCCCAGTTAACCTAGGAATGGCCAGAGGACTTCAGGGAGGCCAGCCACAGGAGGGCATATGAAACAGAGCACTCTTTATCCCCCTATTTCCCTTTGCTTTGGCCATCACCATAACAAGCCAAGGGGGTAAAGAGACTGTAAGATAGCAGCCATCTGCTCCAGTTTCATTCAACAAATATTTGTAGAGGACAGTGCTTGGTTGTGGGAAACGCAGGAAGAACAACATTAGACATGGATACCACTGGCCCAGCCTGTACTGTAGAGGTCAAGAGGAAAGGCAGAGAAACAAGAGGAGACACAGGACCACCTGACAAATTAGAAACTCACCTGGTTCAGCAACTACACTCCCCACCCCTTCCCATAAAAGGCATCAATTCCTAAGTGAATTCCAGCTGTGAGCAGCCTTCTGGAGGACTCTAACAGGGCCACTGGCCAGGGCCAGCTAGTCCTCCCCTGAGCATAGCACTCAGGGGACTGTGCTCCCTGCACCTAACAGTGCCTGCCATATGGTATACCTGCAGCAAATGTGGTTGAATAAAAGTCTTTGGATTTGAAAAAGTGGGGAGGAGTAAAGTAATTTTTAGATGACAGAAACAGGATTTAAAGAAATGAATTGGTTCATGGGATAAATCTGCCAAAATAAAATTTAACAAAGATAACTATAAAATACTGCACTGGGGTCGAAAAAAAATCAAATCCACAAACAAGGACAAAGATGACAGGCTCACCAGCAACTTGAGAGGCTTTATTGTAGGAGAGCTAGGATTATGATGAGAGCATAATATGCATAATATGCACATTCAGGGCTGCTATGTAGAAAAAACAGACAGAGTGCTTCCACACAACCCTGGGAGGAAGTGTCACTCCCAAGGGGTGGAAGATCCAGGAAGAGAGATTCAGGCTAACTATCAGAGAAGGCCTTCTTGGAGTGATTGCTGCACTTAGGCTGGGGCAGAGCAGCGTGTTGCTCCGGGAGGCGTTCAATCGGCTGAGACTCAAGCATCAAATCTGTTACTTGTAACTGGTATGTAAGAGAGATTTCATGATTCTATAAACTTGTATTTAAAGACATATAAACCAAAAACTAAAATACACAAAAAAACAAATCAACTAAAGCTGAATAATCCTACTACCTAGAAATACACAGAGATTCATTGTGCAGAATTACATCTTAGAGTACATGAGGTTGACTCCATGACCAAGACTGAGAGTGAGGTCCAATCACTAACAAACCTACACGCTGGTCCTGTTTTAGATAACTCGTTGCAAAAGGCCTTTTAAAATAGGTTATACATTCACATGGTTCAAAACATGATTAAAACTTCTCCCTCCTATTCCCCAACCAGCCCGTTTTCCTCCTATTGG